TTTCTAAGCATGATCCTGCCTCGTATTTCATACATATACCTACCACTATTAGTGTACTTCTACAAACATTAATTTACCACTTAACAATTTAACTTCAACATTATATAAAGTTTTGTAAATGAACTAGATGATCAAACTAATTACTTAATAATAAGTTCATTTGAACTTCATGTTGGCATTATGAAGAAGAATATTGTTATGTTTGTTTAGATATGAACCCATTTTCTTAAGATCCGAATTTCCATAAATGATGACATTTTTGAAGTGGCGAATGAAACTGAAGAAGCCAACCAAATGGAATCAGATGTGAATTGATACTTAATCATCGTTCAAACGCTCTAGCATTACTAGTGAATGAAAAAAAAATGAGTGGCTGAAACTAAAAAACACTCAAATAGGCTTAGAAACATATTCAAAGTGTGAATGTGATGATTTATAGGCCTCAAGGAACATGGTACCTTCTTCCATATGTTATTAAAATTAGAAGAGAGTTTATTCACCACAAAAAACATATGTATCCCTTACAATATGCAATAGCTTTTGTAAGGTTTGGTTACCTAATGTGAATGAAAAGTACTTCATTTAAGAAAGACATCATTTTACATATTTAAATTTAAAATGACATTATATTTTGTATAGTTGGAGTTGATTTTTAGGATAACTTGACACTTACATATGGTGCAAACTAGTAGTTTCTACATGAACTTTAAAAGATCCCATGTCTTCTCAGTTCGGTGGAAAATAGTACTAGTTATTTACACTGGTTGTCTATTTCTAATCATGCCTTACGTGATTCCTCAATAGTTTCTATTATGTTGACAAGGTTTTATATATCTTATGAATTTTTGATGATGAGAATTCCTGTTGTATACAATGTTAGCTTTCTACCCTACTCGGTGGCAAAAGGTGTTAACGACATTTCTAATATTACTATTCTCCTTTTCACGTGTTGAAAATCACGAATTGTTTCTAACGTAGTCGTATCAACAATATCCCATTGGTTGTCTTTAAGGCATAATAGTTCATATTCTATTGTCAATGATAGCTCATCGTCACTAAATGTTGAAGACTATGGGATACACTCAAACACCATATATAAAGGCCAAAATGTTTGACCTCTAAAATACAACATTTTATTGCCTAGTTAGATTGATTACACCATTTTACTATTTAAAACTTTTCATTTTTGTGTTTTATCATTGGAGTTGTCATTTCGACTTTTAGAACAGAAAAATCCAGACATTTTAGACCATAATATTCTCGACATTGCAGACCATGAAGTTTTTGGATTAGTTCTTTGTATTTTTTTTTAACGGCAAATAATATAAATATCCCCTATGCGTGGATTGAACCCATAACCTCGTAATTAGTTGTTAGATTAAAAACCTCCTTGTTAACCAAATGGGCTAGACCCAAATTATCAATATTACCTATTGTACTTTACTTCCTATGGTGTATTAGTAATAGTTTTAGACTATTAACAAATAAACAATGATTAAAATTATAAAAAACAAATAATTAAAAAAAAAAAAAAAAAAAAAAAAAAAAAAAAAAAACTTGCAATGTATAATTAAAGATATATTATGGGTATTCCGGACTTAATAACAACATTTATCCTTATAAATATTACATTAATCTAAAAATCTAACCTAATTTTTCGAATCCGTATTAGAATACAAACAAAATCTTTAGAATGTACTTTCTACATAATTTTAATTTTTTTTTTTAGAATGTCCACTTCGGAGTAAGTGATTATTTTGCTGGTTGCTTATTTTCTACATTTTCTTTCTATATATCTTAAATGATGATATATCTTAAATGATGATATGTGTTATTTTAATAAAAATAATTATATTTTAATATATACTTATGTGACATAGATCACAATTTAGAATATATAGAAAGATATCTATAAAAAAAAATACTAAGAAAATATTTAATTTCTTTTTAACATTACCCACGTCACACAAAAGAATAAAAAATAATAATAATAATAATAATAATAATAATAATAATAATAATAATAAAAGATCACCACCATATGTACCCATTTACCTCATGCATAATTTATTTTTCAGAACAGCATCATTATTTCTATGTGTTTTACTCTTTGGATTACATATAAAAAAATCTCTTTCATTTTCACAAAACATACCAAAAGTCCCTTTACATTTATTTTAAGGAAAGATACAACCCACAAGACTTTTCTCTCGTTTTCTTCAAAACACAACAATACAAGAATGATTATATGAAAACATACACTAACGGTAACACCCACAACCCCTCTACCACGGCACCACACACATTCACACTATTCACGTGCTTTAATGTACCCGTGATAAATTTTCTACAGCTATATCATTTCTTTAATTATAGTTTTTCGTTACCTCTAAAAATATCTAAGATATTTTTAAAGGAGTATATATATATATATATATATATATATATATATATATATATAATATATATATATATATATATATATATATATATATATATATTCCTTTAAAAATATCTTAGATATTTTTAGAGGTAACGAAAACTATAATTAAAGAAATGATATAGCCATTAAAAAAAATAAGTAGAAAATTTATCACCGTACACTAAAGCACGTGACAAATTATATATATATATATATATATATATATATATATATATATATATATATATATATATATATATATATATATATATATATATATACCAGTTTATAACCTGTGTAAACCACGGTTATAAAATTAATTAAACTTTTATCCTAAAAACTCAAAGTTATTAATCAATTAGTTTAAATAAATTATTAATTAAGATATTTTTTTAATTATATATAAAATTATAATCAACGATTTAATTAAATATATGAAATTATATCACTTTATAATTTGTATTAATTTTATTTTAATTTTTATTTTAATGTAAATAGAGTGGGAAATTTAAAATTTAAAATGACTAATCAATATGTTGACAAGTGGCAATTATTAATTAGGAGACATAATAGGGTGACACGTGACAAAAAAAAGAATAAAATATGCATTAATTAAGAGGTTTAATAAGATGACACATATCAAAATAAGAATAAAACTATTTTTTTATTAGAATAGGGATATATATATATATATATATATATATATATATATATATATATATATATATATAAAGATATTTTTAGAGGACAATAACTAAAAACCATAATAAATGAAATGATATATATATATATATATATATGGAAAAGTTATTTGGAAAACAGAAAAACCCTTAAACTACCCTAAAATCATCAAAAAAAAATTAAAAAAAAATACTTAGATATCACAAAACTTTTATTTGAATTTTTCTTATAAAAAATCACAGCTTTTTATACAAATTCGCTGAAATTGTTTTTGAAAAAAACTTTTTTTTATAAAAAAATTGATTTTTTTATTTTTTTTTCAATAGATTTTAATAAAACGCTGTGATTTTTTATAAAAAAAATTTAGAAAAAAGTTTTGCGGTGTCTAAGTATTTTTTTTATGCATTATTATGATTTTTAAGGTTTTTTGTTTTCCATAAAACCTATATATATATATATATATATATATATATATATATATATATATATATATATATATATATATATATATATATATATATAGCGTTGAGACAGGTTGACAATTCAAAGTTTCCCCGATAACCTGAGAACTAAAAGTGGACTGTTGGATCAAAAGTAATTCGTTATGGACATGATCATCATCTTACCAATCTCATTTAATGTTTAATATTTTTGTATTATTTAATATATTATTATAAATATCTAAAAATTTACATCATAAATCAAATTTTCAGATTTTTCTAAAAATAGTGTTTTTCATTTTTTTTTAAATTCAGATTTTTTAAAAAAAGAAATATTTTTTTAGAAAACATGTATTTTTGAGAAAGAAATATTTTTTTGAGAGTGCAATTTAAAAAAAAAAAATTTAAAAAAAAAAAAAAAAAAAAAAAAAAAAAAAAAACTGTATTTTTTTTTTATAGAAAGTTGTATTTTGTCAAAAAAAAAATAGTACTTTAAAAAAAATTATATATATATATATATATATATATATATATATATATATATATATATATATATATATATATATATATATATATATATAATAAACAAAACTACAAGTTTTTGAAGAAAGTTACATTTTTTTCAAAAAAAAAAAAAAACCGCGTTTATAAAAATCTGCATTTTTAAAATATATATATATATATATCATGTTTGTAAAAATCGCTCGACGTTAGCTAGTCGGTGGACTAAGGTCAAGGGATTAATCGGCTAGGCAGAGATTAATCGGGGGATTAATCGGGGACCATTAATTGCTAATTTGTTAGATTTTAAAAAATTAAATATGACTAATATCATATAAAACTTCATAAATACCACTAATAGTATAACAAAATAGGTTAATATGATAAATACAACACTAATAATACCTCAAATAGTTTCTATTGAAATATAACCTCTTCAAAGTGTTAAAATTTAATCGGACTCTATTGTTTCAGTCATTTTGTATGCATGGATTAATCGCTAGGCGCTCTCTAATCGGTCAATTAGCGCCTAGGGATTAATCAGAGATTAATCGGGACCTAATCGGATTTTTACAACACTGATATATATATATATATATATATATATATATATATATATATATATATATATATATATATATATATATATATATATACATGTGTGTGTATATATGCATATTTTTTCAATTGCATATATTCATATTTTTAATACTATAATATTCGTAAGTAAATAAAAAAAAAACCTAATTTTTATTTAGGTCTTGAAGATTTTTTGATGCAAATTCATCGCAAGGTACCGTATATAGTCCTCATCTACCATAGAATAAATATTTTATTTGATACAAAATAAAATATAAAAAACCAAAAAATGCTATAAAATCCAAAGTGCGTTCATGTCTTCGTATCAATATTTCCATATTTTCTTCAATTTATCATCTTCACCTCTTCAATATTCATCACAACTTCATCCAAATCTACAAGAAAATTTAAAAAAAAAATGGTTGATGCAAAAACACCTACAAAAATACATACGTGATTTACATGTGATTAACATATGAATCACAGACGATTCACATATGAATTAAATGTGATGCATATGTGAATTACATGCGATTTACATGTAAATCACATGTAATTCATATGTGAATTAGATGGGATTTACATGTGAATCACATGTAATTCATATGTGAATTACATGCGATTTACATGTGAATCACATGTAATTCATATTTGAATTACATGTGAAGCACATGTAATTCATATGTGAATTACATGCAATTTACATGTGAAGCACATGTAATTTATATGTGATTAAATATGAAGCACTTGTAATTCATATGTGAATTACATGTGATTTACATGTGAATCACATGTAATTTATATGTGATTTACATGTAATTCATATGAATCACATGATTGAAACTAAATTTTTGTGAATTTATATTGAAATTAGGGAAAAGCTTACTTTATAGACATGATTTGTTGTATCCAATTTAGGTTCATGATTTGCAATGTTCATGCTCAAATTCATTCCATTTTGTGGCAATACAACCATTACAAGGGAATCTTCCGCCATTACCCTTGCAAACACATCAAATAAAAACACTTGTTATTTTGAGTTATTCATATTCAACCAAAAAAAAAGTTAGTACTTTAACAAATCTAAGCTCTTCGCAATATCTCATAGAATTCACAAGCAGATCAGTCAATCATAGAAACTAATTGACTAAAGCATACCAAATGGAATGGATAGAGAGTATAACCACAAACACTTAAAATTGACATATTGCATACTACAACATAGTTAAGTCAAGCTCCTCCATCTATCTATAAAAAAATGACGAATGGAAGAGATGGTACCTTTGCAAACTTTTGTATTGTGATGAGATGTCTCTTGGAGCAGCTCTTTTTAGGTCAAACCGTTTTTGTTGACATCTATACAAACCTTTTTTATGCCAAAATTTTCTCTGCTAATATGATTATTACAAATGAGAATTAACATGTCATTCAGACACCAAAACAAGTTGAAAAAGAAAAAAGGATAGTGGATTACAATATCCAATTAACACTTTTAGTATTCTACTTTCATTCTTCTTATCATACTACCAACAACAGACATGTGTATTTAGAAACCATCATGACACTCTTTGTGGCCAAATTCATGAACTAATCACTTGGGGAATTGTAAGGTGTTAATTGTATTATGGAAATATCAACTAAGGTAACAATATCTCAACTTCAATAACATCAATAGTTACGATACATGATTGGTGAATTAGAGATATGAAACTAACAACTCACAGCGTACCTTGCAATTCTAATAAGTTTTTGTAGAGATGAAATTGATGAAAGACTGAGACAAGGCGGGAGTAACTGCGAAGTAGAGGTGGAGGCGACTACGACGAAAACCAAATTATTACCGTATTCATCCAGAAAACTGTTTAATGTCAAAAATCTGAAATCGCTTTCTCATAATCACCATACATTAGAAAATTTTGGGAGGAGGCTCTGAAATTCATGGTATAAACCCTAACAACAGATGTTATTAAATAGGAGGACGCCATTAAAGATAAAGAATTCTTATTGAGCTGAAGAAATCAAAAATACCTTGTAAAGCATTAAATCACATTGATAAGTTCCAAATAAGGAAGACTTCCTAAAAAGTTGAAGATCAACAACAACTGATTTTTCAAATGTTAAAAATAGATCGGCCACAGTAAACGTCGTTCGCAATTGCAGATCATTCGTCGAAGGGATACTGGAGATGATTGAGACGACATGAGAGGAATATACTCGATTTGTCGATCTAAACGTCGTCATTCTATTGTTTCTTCGATTCATCGTCAACGATCTGGACATTAAGGAGTGTGGATGACCAGAGGTGGGATAAAGGTAGGTGAGAGGCGAGATAAAGAGATAGAGAGGGGGTAAGGGCTTTGATATTATTCAATCAGAGAAGGTATATTATTACATTATCTCTAAAATGCCCCCGATTCATGTGAAATAAGATGCCCCCGCCTTCTCAGTTATTTATAAAAATACCATAAATCATCAAAACCTTCGATTATTTTCATCTAACGGTTTTTGTTTAGTTCTCGGGTTCTCGGGAAATTTTGAGTTCTCAAATGATCCTTCCTCTCTCTCTCTCTCTCTCTCTCTCTCTCTATATATATATATATATATATATATATATATATATATATATATATATATATATATATATATATATATATATATATATATATGTATTTACAAAAATGCCATAAATCATCCTAACCTTCAATTATTTTGATCTAACGGTCTTTGTTTAGTTCTCGGGTTCTCGGGAAACTTTGAGTTCTCAAATGATCCTTCCTCTCTCTCTCTCTCCCTCTCTCTCTCTCTCTCTCTCTCTCTCTCTCTCTCTATATATATATATATATATATATATATATATATATATATATATATATATATATATATATATATATATATATATATATATATATATAGGGAAAAGTGAATATACCCTTGATGGTATATAAGCTTAGGTACCCAAACATATCATAATACATAATTTTGTTTGATATTTTCATTATAATGTTTTTAAACTTCAACTCTTAACTTGATTTACTTACAAGATTTTCGAAATTTCACTATTATCTTTCTTTTACATCGCATATTTTTTCCGAACACCTACTAGGCTATATCTATTGTAGTTGAAAATGAAAATTATATAAGAGAAACATAAATATGTAATTTATAAAAATCATTGAAGTAAATCAAGTTAGAAGTTAAATTATAAGAACATTGGACAATTAAAATGTATTATATGATACAAAACGACGTAATATGGTGAGTTTGGGTACCTAAACTTATATACCCTTAAAGGTATATTCACTTTTACCATATATATATATATATATATATATATATATATATATATATATATATATATATATATATATATAGTGAGAGAGAGAGAGAGGAAAGTTCAATTGAGATGATAAAAAAGTTGAGAATTAGGGTATCATTGTAAGTCACTCATTTATTTTTACCGCAAAAACCTCCAGCGTACCAGCGAAAATGGGGAACGAATTCACATGTGTTTTCCATCAAAACATGTTTCCTTTAATTATGCTAATCATTACCTTAATATATACAAAAACAAATTTTTTTTGATTTTTTTTTTTAATTTTTAAGAAGCTATTTTTATCGAAAAATTATTTTAAACATATCAAAATTCATAATTTTTTATTCTCTATAAATAGACATCCATATTGATATAGTTTTGAAATAAATTTAAATTTTTATCTTTTTATAATTTCAGTTATCGTTATTCATAAGTGTATAGAAATGCATCAAATTTTTACTATAGTACATTCGTTATTCACTTATGAATAAAAAAATATTTTTAATTTTTTTTTTTTACAATTTAAGTATCATTTATACTACTTATTTATATGTGTAACAAATTAACTATAACAAAAATCTGATAAATGTTTTATTCATATATGAATATAAAATATTACGATAACTAAAATACGTTTTATTCATATATAAATATAATATATAACGAAAGATGATGTAAAAAATATATTTTAAATAAGAAAACTTTATTACTTGTTATATTCTTATATTAACGATAATCAAATTATAAGAAAAAAAAAAGATTAAGCATATGTTTTATTCAAAAATGCATAATGAATATATTGTAATAAAAATCTGATGGATTTTTATTCACTTATGAATACCGGAAGCTAAAACTCTAAAAAAATAAAATTTTCTATTTTATTTTAAAACAATATTAATATAGATGTCTATTTATAGAGAATAAAAAATTATGAATTTTAATATATTTAATATAATTTTTCGATAAAAATAGCTTTCAAAAAATCAAAAAAACGAAAAAAAAAATGTTTTTGGATATATTAAGGTAATAATTAGCATAGTTTAAAGACACATGTTTGGTTGGAAATACATGTGTATCCGTTATACCCTGTTTTTTCTCAACTGAACCCTCATCTCTCCCTCTCTCTATCTCTCTCTCTCTCTCTCTCTCTATATATATATATATATATATATATATATATATATATATATATATATATATATATATATATATATCAAGGTTGTAAAAATCGTTTGATGGTAACTCGGCGGTCGACTGGCGATAAACGATTAATCGGACTAGGCAGAGATTAATCGGGGGGCCTTAATTATTAATAAAATTATTTAAAAAATTAATATTCTCTAAAGGACTAAGTATTTGAAAATTTAAAATTTTAAAATTTTTGAAAATTTCAGTTTAATATTTTAAATTTTGAAAGCTTAAAATTCTGAAAATTTAAAATTTCGGAGTAATATTTGAAAATTAAAATTTTTTGAATTTTTAAAAAAATTCTTGCCTACGACCGTCGAGACCGCCAAGGCTGACTTTGATTTATTTTGATCAATTTCCGCTAAGCACCCTAATCGTAATCGGTATAAGGCCATCAAGCGATTAAGAACCAAAAAAGATTAAGAACTCTAAGAACCACCAGTTTATAGTTATTAAACATATGAATGCTTATTAAACAATTAAAAATCATTTTTTTTCTTGTCTTTTTTGATAAGAAAATGACAAATTCATAATTTTACAGTTTAATATTTTCATTCGCATTGTAATACAAAATATATATTACATAATTTCATATAGTCCATTTACAGTCTAATACATAAAATTCACAACTTAATACAATTAATTTTACAATAATTCAAAATTTCAAAGAAGTTAAACACAAATTCTACTATCACCATCCACTACAACACGCTGTCACCAAAAACTTGTGTCACCGTTATAACCATTATTTTCTTCCAAATCCGATCTGTATAAAAAATCATGTATTAACAACTTACATAGTATATTCACATTTTAATAAACTTATTAATTCACTAATTTAGAGTTTAATGCAAAACAATTATAACAACTGTTACATTCTTACATATTTATATAAGAAAATTAATACAACCATTCATACATAAATAATTTATATTTTAACGAAAAAATAAATAAAAAGTTCACAACTTAATACAGTCAATTCACAGTTTAATACAGTCAATTCACGGTTTAATACATAAAATTCATAGATTAATACAATAAATTTACAGTTTAATATACATAAATGTTATATTTTAACTTAAAACTTATATGTATACCTTTAAATATGAAGGCTACTGTTTCTTTTAAAGTTTAATTTATACAATATTAATAGTGTACATTTTATACAATTTATTTAAATTTAGAAAAAATCATATATGTGTATAATGATTCTTTTTTTTAAACACAATTTTTTTTTTAAAAAAAAAATCATAGCTTAATATAGTTAATTCACAGTTTAATACTGTGAATTCACAATTTAATATACAAAATTCACCATTTAATATAATAAATTCACAGTTTAATACAGAAAATTTATAACTTAATACAATTAATTAATAACTTAATACAGTCAATTGTCTCTTTAAAAAAAACTTAATACAATCAATTCATAGTTTAATACAATCAATTCACACCTTAATACATAAAACTAGTAGTTTAATACAATAAATTCACAGTGTAATACAGTTTATACACACAGCTTATATATTTACAACAATATTCTCAACTTAAAACTTATATTTATACATTCATATCTGGAGGCATTTGTGTATATTAAAATGTGAATTTATTATATGAAGTTCTGAATAAAATTCACAGATTAATACACTAATTTCACAACTCATTTACACATAAAATTTAGATTTTGATAAAAAAAAATCAGAATTTACAGTTTGATGAAACATTTCAGACACTAATTCATAGCTTAATTCTATATTTCAAACACTAAAATGCACAACTTATTGAAAATAATAATAATAATAATAATAAACAAAACAAAAAAAAAACAAAAAAAAAAAAGAAAAACAAAAAGAAAATTCATAACATAATACACGCTTCAGCTCTAATTCGAAGCTTAAAACAAAATTTTAAAAACTTATTCAAAACTTAAAAACTTACAGATGTCGTTGAGGCATTTCATCACACACCTTGTGTGCACATTATTTCTAGATCTGATATGATTTACAGATCTAAGATTGTCATATTCCTTAGAGTCTTAGAATATTCAAGATCTGATCTTATTACCGTATAGTGATGGTTTTTAGCCATAAGAACATCCTATGTGCTCATACAAACCCTAATGCTTGGATCTAGGTTTCTCTATTGTACATGCCATTCATCCAAGACTATAAACCCTAATTCTAGCATATGATAATCGATATTAACATAATAATGGGTTTAAGACATTACCTTGATTGTTATGTAGCAATAACAATCACAATTCCTTCTTGTAATGACTTTAGAAAGCTCAGAGTCACAAATGTCACTCCTCTAATGGTTCACAAACACCAAGAGCAAGAGGATGAAGAGGAGAAGAGAAGGAGACACCCAAAAGCCGTCCAAAACCCTAAGGAATTGCTTACCCCCGTTTTTGGTGCTCTAGGGATCTTTAAATAGTGAATCTATTAGGGTTATCTAATGAGGAAACCCTAATTTGGATGCTTAAGCCCTAATCAACCCATGGACTCCTTCCTTAAAGGCCCTAGGACGATTTCTAATGGGTTTCCCCATAGAATTCGTCCACCCCTTTAATATGGAGTCTATTAGCTCAATATTCAACTATCATACAATTAACAGTTCAAGTCCCTTAAGTTTAATTAATCTCTTTTAGCCACAAACTTAATTCTTATTAATTCTTGACTAATATTAATTAAACAATATTATTTCTCCTTTAATATATTATTCTCATAATATATTAATAAATCATATTTAATACTTTCTCTCCATAATTCATCCTATCAAGTTGCTTTGGTGAAGGCAACCGAAATGGACCATGCACCATCGGGTCAAGTACATACCAAAATAGTTATGAACTTAGACACTAATCCAACAGTCTCCCACTTGGATAAGTCTAATAACTATTCCGCGTATGACT